TGAGAACTCCAAAGGCCGGTCCTCAGGCGGAACACAGCTCAGAACCGGTGCTCGGCCATCGGGGTGCAAAGACATCTCCCAACGGCGGCAGCCGCCTTAGCAACAGCTGCTCGAGGGTAAGCGGGGCTCTTGCACCCGCCCCGAGCTCGGTCACGCGTGGCTTGGCTCTTACCGGCACCGCAGGGCGCATCCTTTGTGGTCCCACTGCGCTCGTACAGCTGACATGCAAACGCTGTCCACCCATGCCCGTTGAAACCATGCAAGTTATGCTGGAAACACTCATGCTGTGAGTAACAGATAATAAAGAAACAATAATTTCTTGTCTAAGTGAAAATTGGATGCGACTTTACCTCAGCAGAATTTAGTAACACCTCCCAAACTTACTCTGTGGAAAAATGAAACTTAAGAGAGCTTTCTGAAGTAAAATGATGAACACACAGCATGGGCTCAAAGGTTTGACTTCAAATGAGTGACATCAAAGCTAAGGTTTCACTAGAAAGCAGGTCTTAGGACTTAGGGAAAGGCTCCAAGCAAAGTAGTTAAGCAAAGCAAAACAAAAAAGCCCAAAATTCATCACCAACAGCAGGATGCAAAAAAGAGAGAGGAATGAGGAATAAGTTACAGTCTATCTAGAGACCAAGTACAGTTAATTTGCAGGATAAGCAGCAGCTTGAGAACTACCTTCTCATCTGCAATGATGCAGGTCTTTTTAAACTGGTAACCAAATCATAAGGTCCTGGCTTTTGCCATACAGCAGCTCAGAAACCTGGCCCAAACACACTGAGTCCTTTGTGATGCTTTTACTAGCAGATGGCAGCCACATATCCCTTTTCCTTGAGGTGGGCTATAGAGAGTATCAGAACTCTTGGAGGATGTTCCAATTGATAGGCTAGGTAGGTACACCAAGAAGGGATTGTTGGGAGGACAGATGTTTTTTCACCCCTGGGTATCCAGAGTGGATTTGAACCAAAACCACATACCAGTGTGGTATTTTTTTAAATCCAGATGCCCATGGATGTTTTTCTCCGGTTAATGTACAAGAATTGTCATTTTATCATTAACATGGATGTTAAACATCAAATGTCTCAAAGCACAAAAGATCTCTGCAACAGACAGATATAAGAAAACCCAACTCATGAATGTCTTACCTTAATTCCTACTTGATGTTGGTTATTTCAAGCGTTAGTCTTTCCAAATCAATTTACAGTAAGTGTCTTTAACCAAAAGATGGATGCATACACAGCAGTCACTTCAGTCTTACAAAGTTATTTTTATTTAGCAATTGCATCTTTAACATTTATTCCATTATTAAGATTTTTCTTGAGTAAAAAAATCTGCTTTCCATAAAAAAGCTATAAGTAACAAAAGTCACTTTCTCTTTTTTTCTTCACCTCATTTTTTGCAATGATGTAGAAGGAACAGCACGCTTTGAAGAGCCAGATTCCTCCTCATTTTCATGGAGACGCTTTCTTGTGGTGATTGGCTAAAAGAAAGATGCAGCAGGATGGCTACATGAAGCAAGGTAAGACAGAGCCTGACTGCTTTCTGTGCTTCAAAATTGCAGATGTTGGATGAAGTCTCCTTTCTGTTACCAAACAGCAACATGACCAACAACTGTTTCTCTGCCAATATCTATCTAATTGGTTTTGATCCTTCTCATATAAGACATTGCCACCCGATTTTATTCATCACTAATTTAAAATTCTCCTAATTAGCATCCAGTAATGAAGTTCACAATAACCAGTCTCAACTTTCACTAACATGAGAATTTTTCCTTGAATACCAAACATTCGTGACCCTAACCCATCAAAACATAGATGTTCAACAATTTAATTTTCAATGTATGCATAATCTTTAAAGCCTTGGAGACTGTTTCTATGCATTTAAGCAAAGCTTTGTCCCATTCCCAGCTCCATTCCCATTGCCCAGCCCCATTCCCATTCCCAGCTCCATTCCCATTCCCATTCCCATTCTGAGCTCCATTCCCATTCCCATTCCCATTCCAAGCTCCATTCCCATTCCCAGCTCCATTCCCATTCCCAGCTCTATTCCCATTCCCAGCTCCATTCCCATTCCCAGCTCCATTCCCATTCCCAGCTCCATTCCCATTCCCAGCTCTATTCCCATTCCCAGCTCCATTCCCATTCCCAGCTCCATTCCATTCTGTTCCCCATTCCCATTCCAAGCCCTGTTCCCATTCCTGTTCCTATTCCGAGCCTCATTCCCATTCCCGTTCCCATTCTGAGCTCCATTCCCATTCCCATCCCCATTCCCAGCTCCATCCCCAGCTCCGTTCCCATTCCAAGCCCTGTTCCCATTCCCAGCTCCATTCCCATTCCTGTTCCTATTCCCAGCTCCATTCCCAGCCCCGTTCCCATTCCCAGCTCCATTCCCATTCCCAGCTCCATTCCCATTCCCAGCTCCATTCCCATTCCCAGCTCCATTCCCAGCTCCATTCCCATTCCCATCTCCATTCCCATTCCCATCTCCATTCCATTCCCAGCTCCATTCCCATTCCCAGCTCTATTCCCATTCCCAGCTCCATTCCCATTCCCAGCTCCATTCCATTCCCAGCTCCATTCCATTCCCAGCTCCATTCCCATTCCCAGCTCCATTCCCATTCCCAGCTCCATTCTCATTCCCAGCTCCATTCCCATTCCCAGCTCCGTTCCCATTCCCAGCTCCGTTCCCATTCCCAGCTCCATTCTCATTCCCAGCTCCGTTCTCATTCCCAGCTCCGTTCTCATTCCCAGCTCCATTCCCATTCCCAGCTCCATTCCCATTCCCAGCTCCATTCCCAGCTCCATTCCCATTCCCAGCTTCATTCCATTCCCAGCTCCATTCCCATTCCCAGCTCCATTCCCATTCCCAGCTCCATTCCCATTCCCAGCTCCATTCCCATTCCCAGCTCCATTCCCACTCCCAGCTCCATTCCCATTCCCAGCTCCATTCTCATTCCCAGCTCCATTCCCATTCCCAGCTCCATTCCCATTCCCAGCTCCATTCCCATTCCCAGCTCCATTCCCATTCCCAGCTCCATTCCCATTCCCAGCTCCTTTCCCATTCCCAGCTCCATTCCCATTCCCAGCTCCATTCCCATTCCCAGCTCCATTCCCACTCCCAGCTCCATTCCCATTCCCAGCTTTGTGCCTATTCCTGAGGCTCGGAGCAGGTTCCCCCAGCATCGTGGTGGCTCCTGGTTGATGGTTCCCCCTTTGCCCACAGGAGGTGGATGCTGCCCAGCTCCTGCGGCTCTATCTCAGCTATGACCTGCTGGAGGAGGCGGTGGACTTGGTGCTGGAGTACGTGGATGCTGTGCTGGGGAAAGGGCACCGGTACTTTGGAATCGAGGTGAGGCTTTGGGATGTCCCTGGGGCACATCCTGCTTGGATGGAGCAGCTCTGCCATGGAGCCAGGCTGAGGGAGCTGGGCTGGGGCAGACTGGACAAGAGAAGGCTCCTGAAGGGGAGACCTGAGAGCAGCTCCAGTGCCTAAAGGGGCTGCAGGAAACCTGGAGAGGGGCTTGGGACAAGGGCCTGTAGGGACAGGCCAAGGGGAATGGCTTGAACCTGCCCGAGGGGAGACTGAGCTGAGCTCTTAGGCAGAAGCTCTTCCCTGTGAGGGTGCTGAGGCGCTGGCACAGGGTGCCCAGAGAAGCTGTGGCTGCCCCATCCCTGGCAGTGCTCAAGGACACAGGGGCTTGGAGCAAGCTGCTCCAGTGGAAGGGGTTGGGGTTGGAGCTGGAGGAGCTTTAATCTCCCTGCATCCCAACCCATCCCATGTCCCTGTTGTACCCATGCGGGTGCTCACTGTGCCCATGGTGAGGAGCGGTTCTGCTGCCATCGCACCCCAACATCCCCTCTGTGTGTGTGTGTCCCCCCAGTTCCCACTCTCAGCCACAGCCCCCATGGTGTGGCTGCCCTATACCGCCATCGACCAACTGCTGCAGGCGCTGCGGGAGAGCACCGCCAGCCAGCACAGCGTGGAGGTAGGACCGACCCCTTCCCTATGGAGCATCCCCATGGTGTCCCCTGCTCCGAGCTGGATGTGGGGCGGGATCAAAGGGGGGGAGCCCTCACCTCCTGCTCTGTGCCCTGGCCCAGCTCTACCAGAAGCTCTCTGAGAAGATAGAGGACTACCAGCAGAAGGTGAGCGTGGCCACCCGGGACCGCCTGTACCGCCGCAGCTAGAGCCAGCCCCACAGCCCCCGGTGCTGTTCACCCTCATTCTGTCCCCATCAACACCCAGTTTGGGGAATGGGGAGGGGGTCACCTCACCCTGTTCCTCAATGGGGTGATGAGCAGGGCCTGGGGGTGCTGCCAATGCTCCCCCCCCCATCCCCAGTGCCATCCCCTCGCTGTTATTTATTTGGTGTGGTTTTGGTTAATAAACTCCAAGTGTTGTTATGGGTTTGTGTCCTGCAGCGGCAGGGCTGCACTGTGCCCTATGGCATGGCTGGGGGTGGTACCACCGTGCTCCATGGGGCTATATAGCCCCTAAGGGTTGGATTATGCTATAGCAGAGGGTGGGGTTACAGCTCTGAAGGGCAGGATGGGGTTATAGGGCCGGGATGGAGCTATAGGCTCAAGTGGCAGCACCGTACTCTAAGGCAGGACAGGGACTATAGGCTAAGGGGGGAGGCATTGTGCTATAGAGCAATGATGGAGCTGATAGGTTTGAGGGCCAGGAGTGGGGCTATAGGCTCCTAGGTTAGCACTGCTCTAGGGCAGGGATGGGGTTATAGGGCCATGGGTCAGGGACAGAGCTATAGGCTCCCAGGGTGGCACGGTGCTAGAGGGCAAGAGAGACACTATAGACTCACGGGGCAGGGAGGGAGCTTAAACTCAGGGGCCGGTACTGTGCTCCAGGACAGGAATGGGGCTATAGGTCTGGAAGGGGCCTATAGGGCAGGAACAGAGCTATATGTTCACAGGGTAGCACTGTGTTACAGGGCATGCATGGGACCTAGAGGTTCAGGGGGCAACACTATGTTATAGGGCAGGGATGGGTCTATAGGACAGGACTGAGGCTATAAACCCAGGGTGTCTATAGGGCAGGGATGGGTCTATAGGGGAGGGCTGAGGCTATAAACACAGGGTGTCTATAGGGCAGAGATGGGTCTATAGGGCAGGGATGGATCTATAAGGGAGGAACCGGTCTATAGGTCAGGGATGGGTCTATAGGACACGACTGAGGCTATAAACCCAAGGTGTCTATAGGGCAGGGATGGATCTGTAGGGGAGGGCTGAGGCTATAAACCCAGGGTGTCTATAGGGCAGGAATGGGTCTATAAACCCAAGCTATCTATAGGGCAGGGATGGGGCTATAGGGGAGGAACAGGTCTATAGGGTACAACGGGCTCCATAACCCCAACGGGATGGGCGGAGCTCCGCGAAGCCCCGCCCCTTGACGTCACGACGCACTGCGTCCCTCCCTGAGGCGCCGCTCCTTCCTCCGCCGCCGCCGCCATGGGGAAGAAGTCCCGCTCGGCTCCGTGCCGCCGGCCCATCCTGCAGCTCTCCCCTCCGGGCCCCCGCCGGGACGAGGCTGCGGCTGCAGCGGCTCCCGAGGGACCGGAGTCCGGTTCCGAACCGGGTAAAGGGGGACGGGGGCGGTACCGGTGGGAGATGCGGTGGGAGGGGGGGGGTAGCGCTTTGTTACCGCGGCCTATGCAGGCCTCAGCGCGGCCTCCTCGTAGCGCCGCGGCCTAAGGCAGGGGGAAGGCGGTGGGAGGGGGGTGACGCGCGTTCCCCCCCTCCCCACCGCCTTCCCCCTGCTCAATGATCCCCCTTTTAACCCCTTAATCCCCTTCACAGACGAACCCGAAGCACTCACGGACCCCCCCCGCCACCCGCTCCCCCCAACGGCCGCAGCCGTTAAGCCCACAGGTACGAGGTTTTCCTGAGGTAAAATGAGGTGAAAACCGCCCTAAAAAGGCATGGGGCGGCTGCGTTGCTTGAAAAGAAGGTGTTTTGCCGTCGGGAAATGGGGGAAATCGGTGGGGTTTTATCACTTCAGGGTGTTTATGATAGTGGGGTGGTTTGTTTTACAACGGGGTGAATTAACCCCATCCTAAATACCTTATTATTAGGGTGCCAGCATCATTTGAATTGCTTTGGGGGGGGGTTATTCCCCGGGGGGGGTAATCACTTCTTTACCCTCATTTTCCCATTTCTTACAGATTTAGGGTGATGATCCCATTTAAGTCCATTCAGGATGCTATGGAGTGATTCCCCCCCTCATTTTTGGGGGGGAAACAGGGGTTTTATCCCCACTTTGCTGTTTCTCAAGGGGGCGGTGTGATATTAAATCCCCTCTTTAAATGATGATTTCTTCCCTTAAAAATGCAGATAATGGGGTAATTTTCCACCCAGGGTGTTTTTCTAGAACTATAGAATGGTTTGGGTTGGAAAGGAGCTTAACACCATCCAGTTCCAACCCCGTGCAATGGGCAGGGACACCTCACACTAAACCATGGCACCCAAGGCTCTGTCCAACCTGGCCTTGAACACTGCCAGGGATGGAGCATTCACAACCTCCCTGGGCACCCATTCCAGTGCCTCAGCACCCTCACAGGAAAGAATTTCCTCCTTAGATCCAATCTAAACTTCCCCTGTTTCAGTTTGAACCCATTACCCCTTGTCCTGTCACTGCAGTCCCTAATGAAGAGTCCCTCCCCAGCATCCCTATAGGCCCCCTTCAGACACTGGAAGCTGCTCTGAGGTCTCCACGCAGCTTCTCTTCTCCAGGCTGTTACTCCTGTTTGGAACAACAAGTGATAACTCTTTTTCCTTACCTGTTATTACCTACTATTAATCCTTAAATCACAGCATCCCAGCCTGGTTTGGGTTGGAAGGGACCTGAAAGCTCCTCCAGCTCCAACCCCAACCCCTTCCACTGGAGCAGCTTGCTCCAAGCCCCTGTGTCCTTGAGCACTGCCAGGGATGGGGCAGCCACAGCTTCTCTGGGCACCCTGTGCCAGCGCCTCAGCACCCTCACAGGGAAGAGCTGCTGCCTTATCTCCAGCCTGGATCTCCCCTGTTCCAGTCTGAACCCATCACCCCTTGTCCTGTCACTGCAGTCCCTGATGAAGAGCCCTCCCCAGCATCCTGTTAAACTCAACCCAGAATACGGTTATGTTGGGAGCAGTGACTCCCCCTGAATGATTTGCAGTCAGGATAGGCTTCTTGCCCATCCTTTTATTTTTCCAGGGCTGGGGAATTCTTTTCTCCTCCCAGTTTTGTTCCACCACTGGGATTTTTACCACCCAAGGAATGTATTTCCCATTCCCAGTGCAGCTGGGGGCTGTTCCCTCTTGGATTTTGGGGGTCAGGAGCTATCCCTATGGCTGCTTTAATGCGGAGCAGCCCCTGAGGATCCCTCACTGCCTTCCCCAGGCGGTCTGTGCCTGCTCGGTGCCTATGCAGACAGTGATGATGAGGAGGGTGAGACCCCAGAGAAGTCATCCCGTTCCGTGGATGCCAATGGCAACAATTCCTCGGATATCGACAGCACCTTGGCCAATTTCCTAGCGGTGAGTGCAGCTCCGGGGGGGAGCTCCATGCTCTGCGGTGCTGGGCTCCCCTCTCCCCTCTATTGGGATCAGAACCTGACCATGGGGCTGTTGTTTCCGCAGGAGATCGATGCCATCACGGCTCCCCCACAGCCTGCAGAGCCTGCTGCAGCCTCGGCCTCCTCATCCTCCTCCTCCTCTGTCCTTCCCCCCACACCTCCCCGCCCGGAGCCCAAGGACCCCGGCTCAGGGCAGCCCTCGGGCACAGCCAACGGTGCTGAGCCGGTGCCTGCACAGGAGTGGCAGTACGATACCCAGTGCTCCCTGGCTGGAGGTGAGGCCCTCACCCGCCCTGGGGGGGCAAGGGGGCGTCACTGGGGAATGGGAGGGTGACAGCAGAAACATGGAACTGGAGAATGGGTTGGGTTGGAAGGGGGCTTAGAGCTCATCCAGCTCCAACCCCAACCCCTTCCACTGGAGCAGCTTGCTCCAAGCCCCTGTGTCCAACCTGGCCTTGAGCACTGCCAGGGATGGGGCAGCCACAGCTTCTCTGGGCACCCTGTGCCAGCGCCTCAGCACCCTCACAGGGAAGAGCTTCTGCCATATCCCCAACCTGAACTTCCCCTGTTTCACTCTGAACCCATCACCCCTTGTCCCATTGCTCCAGTCCCTATGAAGAGCCCTTTCCAGCATCCTTGTAGCCCCCTTCAGACACTGGAGGCTGCTCTGAGCTCTCCATGCAGCCCCAGTGTTCTCAGCCTGGCCCCATGCAGGAGCTGCTCCAGCCCTTGAGCATCCTCGTGGCCTCCTCTGGCCTTGCTCCAACAGCTCCATGGCCTCTATGCTGGGGACACCAGCACTCACAGAGCAGAGGGGCAGGATCACCTCCCTTATGGGCTCGGTGTTGTGCTGTGGGTCACATCCTGTCCTTGTCCCTGGCAGTGGGGGAGCTGGAGATGGGTGACTGGCAGGAGGTGTGGGATGAGAACACGGACTGCTACTACTACTGGAACACCCAGAGCAACGAGGTGACCTGGGAGCTGCCACAGTACCTGGCCACACAGGTCCAGGGCCTGCAGCATTACCAACACAGGTCAGTGACCCCCCCCCCCAGACCCTATAGGGGCACTTGTGGGGATGTGGTCCCCATTCCTGCCCTTCACACCCTCTCTTCTTCCTCAGCAGCACCGTGGCAGGCGCCAATGGTGGCTTTGTAGCAGCAGCTGAGGTGTACCCCCAGGAGAAGGGGGTCGGCCGGGGGACCCCCATCACCAAGCGGGAGGTGAAGAAGGTCAGTCGGATGTGCTCAGCACCGGGCTCTGGTGGCCACAGGGCTTGGAGATGCCCTTTGGGCTGGCAGCTCAAAAGAGGTGCCCCATCAACACGGGCTCCTTCCTGTGTGGGGCTGGGAGCTCACGGTGGGGTTTGACCTGCAGGAGGTGAATGAGGGTGTTCAGGCCCTCTCCAACAGCGAGGAGGAGAAGAAGGGGGTGGCCGCAGCCCTCCTGGCACCGCTGGTGCCCGATGTGGTGAAGGAGGAGGAGGAGCGGTGGAGGAGGAAGGTGATCTGCAAAGAGGAAGTGGAGCCCCCTCCAGAGGAGGAGGTGAAAGCAGAAGAGGCCCCGGTGGCTCCGGAGGAGCCGGAGCCCAGCAGGGATCCCCTCGTGGAGGACCCGCTGCAGGAGGAGCTGTGCAGCGTGGTGCAGTCAGGGGAGAGCGCTGAGGAGGAGGAGGAGCAGGACACCCTCGAGCTGGAGATGGTGCTGGAGAGGAAGAAGGTGAGGAGCGAGGCTTTACCCTGGGAATGAGGCCTTTTCCCTATGGAGGATGCTCATGTCCCAATGTGTCCCCTACAGGCGGAGCTGCGTGCCCTGGAGGAGGGCGATGGCAGTGGGGCCGGCTCCAGCCCGCTGTCCGATGGGAGCCAGTCGGCCCCACAGGATCCAGCCCGGAGGATGGCCTCCAAACGGGGCAAATGGAAGCTCTTTGTGGGAGCTGCCAGCCCCGAGTCTGCCAGCAGGGGCTCCAGCAAAACGGGCCGGGAAAGCCCGGATCCGGGAGAAGCAGGTAATGGGAAAGCTCCCTTGGGAGCAGGGGGTTGGATGGGCTGCAGCTCTTCTCCCAAAGGGGGTGTCCTGGAGCCCCTGTGGCACTTGGAGGTGCCGGGATGGGCACTGCCAGGTTCTGTCCTTCATCCCATTAAGGAGCATGGGTGGAGGGTGCCCAAATCTGGTGCTTCTGTCAGTGCAGAGTGCCTGTGCTCAGTGCTATGGAGCAGAACCTCACTGTGAGGACAACCCAGTTCACGTGAGGCTGCTGGATCCGGGGGGGGTGTCAGCTCTACCCCTCGAGCAACAGCAGCCCCATGCCCCTGGTGGTGCTCTGCTGCCCCTGCTCTTTCGGACTCATCACACCCATGTTGAGAGCAGTGCAGTGGGAGCATCCTATAAACATAGTGCCTATGGGGAAGGAGATGGGTGTATGGCACTTGCAGTGCTCTGCTGCACCCTGCCCTTTGCTGCCTGTACCAGCCCTCCCCTGGTAGCCCTGGGGCTCTGGATGTGCCGGTCCCAGTCCCTCACCAGCACGGGGCTTTGGTCCAGCTCCCTGCCCCATGGCACAGCCATGGGGAAACAACCCCTGTGTCCAGGAAAAGCTGCCCCACAAGTGCCCTGAGCTCAAGAGGGAGATGGAGCCTGCCCACAGGGGGATTGCTGTGGCCCTAAGGGGTGCCTGCTGCAGGCAGAGGATCCTTCCTATCCAGGATCAGGCCTGGTGTGAGGTTGGCTCCCGAGGTGTTTCCATTGGATGGCATTCCCTGTGCCTCCTGCAGCCGTGGAGCTGGTTTCCCACTCAACAGGGAGCTGTTACTCCAAAATAAGCCATTTATAGCTGAGCCCCTTTGCTGCTGCAGGGGATTAAGGGAGCTCTGAGCACCAGGACACACTGGGAATTGGGGGGTTTAACCCCGAGGGCCTGAGGAATCCCTCACAAACTGCCCTGCTGGATGTGGCACTTGGGCAGTGCATTGGGCACAACTGCCCTGCCAGGCTATGGAGGCAGAAGCTTGCATTGAGCCAACTTGTGGGGAGCTCTGATGGTGATAAACTTACCTAATACCTGCTAATTCCTCGTGATGAAAGCACTGTGGCCACCTGGTGAGCAGCTCCCTTCGTGCTTCCTTAACTCCAGGCTCCTCCTTCAAGGACCAACCCCAGAGGCAACCACCCTCTCCCTTTTAACTCCAGGCTCTTGTCAGTGGCTCCTATAGGAAAGGAGGCTCCATCCCTGCCCTCTCCAGCTGGGTCTGTACTGGTGGGAGAACCAACCTCTCCTTCCTTCTGCAGCAGCCAGCATGGAAACAACCGATGCCATTCCAGACAAAGAACCAGAGCCTGAGGAGCCCCAGGAGAAGGCCAAAAACCAGGGGCCACCCAAAATGGAAGAGGAGGAGCAGGACCTCAAGGTATGGAGCCGTGGAGGTGCGTGTCAGCAGCAGCATGGAGGGACACGCTGGCTCCTCTGCCCATAGGAGGCCAGCAGCCACGGGGATGCTTGAGCTTTGGGTGGTGCCTTTGTGCCATGTGCCCGTGGGGATGGCACCTGTATCCCTGTGGAAGCCCTAAACCTCAGATCCCAGGGTTAGATCCTGCTCTGAGAGCAGCCGTGCAGCACTGGGGCTGGCATCCCCGATGCTGGTACCCTACCAGGAGCCAGCAGCAAAGGCTTGGAAAACCCATTACAAGGACTCCAAGGGGGGGCTGTGGGGGGTCCAGAGCCAGAGCCCTGGGTCTTGTGACAGAGGGGGACGTGTTTGTCTTGACTCTCTTTTCACCAATAACCATGTTACAGTCCGGTGGCACGTCCCGTTCCCAGGCTGAAGACTCCTCGTCCGTAATCTCTCTGTTTCTGGAGCCTGCTGGTACCTCTTGCTCTTCCCTTCCTCCCAGGGTCACTGGTGGAAAGCTGTTGTTAGCTCCAGCCTGGGGGTTTCTGCAGCGTCTGCTGCTGGTTTGCACTCCCCAGCCTTGGTTTGCTCGCTGGGGCTGTGGCAGGGACACACAGAGCTGTCAGGGGGACCTTTGTCCTTGGCATTCACTGCTCGCTCATTACCTGGGCTGTTCAGTTTGGTTCCGAAGCATCCTTCTGCTGGCAGGCATCGGCACCAACGTGTGCTGGGTGGTTTCTTGATGGGAAGTCAGAGTCCAGCCTCCTCCCTGCCCTCTGTTCCTGCCACTTCATTATTCCTCCAGTGTGGAAGGAAAGGGTTTCCTGGCAGATTCATAGAACCATGGAATGGTTTGGGCTGGAAGGGAGCTTAAAGCTCATCCAGACCCTGCCACGGGCAGGGACCCCTTCCACTGGAGCAGCTTGCTCCAAGCCCCTGTGTCCTTGAGCACTGCCAGGGATGAGGCAGCCACAGCTTCTCTGGGCACCCTGTGCCAGCGCCTCAGCACCCTCACAGGGAAGAGCTTCTGCCTAAGAGCTCAGCTCAGTCTCCCCTCGGGCAGGTTCAAGCCATTCCCCTTGGCCTGGCCCTACAGGCTCTTGTCCCAAGCCCCTCTCCAGGTTCCCTGCAGCCCCTTTAGGCACTGGGAGCTGCATCTCTCCTATGAAATAACTCCAGGGGAGCTGAGATGTGATGCCCCTGCCCCAGCACAGCAGCATCCCCTTGAGGCTTGAGGAGGTTTTTAACTGAATTTCAAGTAAAAGAAGGTAAAACAGTCCCCAGCAGCACCAGGCCCTGGAGCCTTTCAAGCCATCCCCGGTGCTCTGGGATGGGCAGTGCAGTGTGGCACTATCCCACACAGGATCCCTTTGGAGCCGGTGGAGGAATGCCATCTCCCCGGGTAATGCATTGCCTTCATCACGTTGGGGTAATCTCTCTTTTGCCAGCTCTGATTTGCAGGGATCCAGCAGGGCCTCCTCTGCCAGCTCACCCTCAGCACTGGGATATTCCCTGGCTTCTCCATAGTTAACATGGGAATGAGTTCATTTCCCTGCCTCAGGCATCTGCTAAAGCCTCTCCTCAAGAGTGAAGGGAAAACGACCTTTATAGAGCATTCCCATTGGGATACCCCTTCCCGGTGTCCCCATCCTTGGCTTAGAGCCACTTCCATGCCTCCCCTCAGCTGGGGGATGGACGTGGAGATCCCCTTGCCCTGTGCAGTGCCCACACTGGGGTTTCGCTCCCGCTGGATGCTGCGGTTGAGCGGTGGCTGTCACTGTGGGACTGAATCCCTACTGGAGATCCTGTCCCTGCTCACGAGTGCATCCTGAAGCGGCATCCCAGCCCGTTCCCTTTGGGAAGCAGTTGGAGCAGATGTAGGGACTTAACCTCCCCTCCTTTGGGACGAGATCCTGCATGGAGAAGCCAGGATTCCCTGGCAGCTCCCTCAGCTCCAGCGGGGCATAGGAGGGAGCGGGGCTCACAGGGACCCCCATCCCAAAGCCCGTTTGCCGGGATGGCCTGGAGCGAGCCGCGGGGGCCGCGGGCACCCGGTGCCGCTGTGGGGGGGCGGCTCCTGACTCTGTCCCCTTTATCCCCGTCAGTTCCAGATCGGAGAGCTGGCCAACACCCTGACTAACAAACTGGAGTTCCTGGGCATCCACAGGCAATCCATCTCCAACTTCCACCTGCTGCTGTTGCAGACAGAGGTAACCAAGCCTCGGGACCCCCCATTCGCTCCGTCCTTGTGTTCCAAAGAGGATCCCATCCTCCCTGCTGATGCTGGGGGCCGTGTGCCCTCCATCCATGTATGGAGGGGAAGAGCATGGCTTTACACAGAGGCACTGGCTTCCTCCCTAACCCAGGAGGGAGAGGGGGGGTCTGCTTTCAGCCTCCCCCCAACACCTTCCCCCCCATCCCCTCCTTCTTGCCCTCTAGACCCGCATTGCAGACTGGCGCGAAGGTGCTCTCAATGGAATCTACCTCAAACGCAAACTGCAAGACGCCGCCGAGCAGCTCAAACAATACGAAATAAACGCCACCCCTAAAGGCTGGTCCTGCCACTGGGACAGGTACGAGCTCTCCTCCCTTTCTCACCTTTCATCTCTGACATCTCAGACATGAGTTGTGACCATCAGCACCCGACGACGTGGGCGCCGTCCCCTCTCGGACACTTGAGAGCAAGCTTCTGTGTTAGCAATGCTGGGCAGGCAGAGAGCAGCAGCACCACCGTGGGCTTTGAGGCAAGCAGCCCACAGCCGGAGGATCCCGAAGCGACGGAGCGGATCCCCCCCATCGGACAGAGCTCGTGGGCACTCTCCCGAGTGGAAGGCGCTGTTGGAGGGCGGGCCTGGGGGGTCGCGCATGCGAGAGCTCTGTGAACTTTGCAGGATGGCTGGATCACCTCTTCTGACCAACAGCTCTACCCAAGGACAAAGCCCAGCTCCCCGCCGGAACGAAGAACAAGAGTTGTGTCTGCTGCCAGCAGGTCAGACCCAAACATTTCTTTGTCCTTCCCTTTTTATGCCTTTTCTGGATGGAATTGCTTTTCCTTTGTTTTGAAATCTTTGCTCTTTTGTTTTTCAGCTCCCAGATCCGCTCCCTCTCTCTAGCATTCACTGTGTTGGTTTTGACACCCTATAAAGCCGCCTCCTCCGCGCACCACGGGGGTAGGGGGGGGCAGCCTCTCCTCTCCATCGGGGCTGTTCCCCCCCCTCCGGTGCCTCTTCTCGGAGGGCGACTTCCAGCCCGAGGGGGCAGCGCTGGCGCCGTCGCTCTGCTGCTCCTTCCCGAGGAGGGTTGGGGGGGCTTCAGGCAGCCAGCAAAAGAGCTCTTGAGCCCAAGCGCCTGCGGGCTCCCTGCCGTCCTCTCCTTGGTGCTTTGGGAACGGTGGCGGCCCTGCCGCAAAGCCAAGGGCGCTGAAACCCCTGCGAGAGCACGCGGCGGTGGCGGGGAAGGGAAGCTGAAATCTCCCTTCTGTCTCTTGTGATTTAGGGAGCATAGACGCTATTTCTATGTTAACGAGCGCTCGGGAGAGTCCCAGTGGGAGTTCCCCGACGGGGAGGACGAAGACGAAGGGCAGCGGACGACGTCCGACGGGAAGGCCAGCGCCAGTCCTCCCAAAGCACCTCCAAAGGACAAGGGAGAGCGCGCCGAGGATGCTGCCGAGCGCCCCGCAGGTACGGCTTGGGGTGGAGCGGGGGGGTCTGAGCCCCCAGAGCGGGTGCTGTGAGGCCGCAGCGAGCACTCAGGTGATAGGGATCCCTCCTTGTGGCCTCGTGGTGCTGTCAGTGGAGCATCTGCGTTGTCCCGTTGGATGGGAGGCGAGCCCATGGCCTGAGCTCTGCCTGCAGGGCCCCGGCAGGGAGGCAGGAGCAGGCAGCCCTGTCCGTAGCGTGGGTTTTCAAGCCGGTGTCAATGTGTATTCTTCAGGCTCCCTTTGTAAAGAATCCTTCTCAGGCCAAGTTCCTGCTCCGTCTCTCATGCCGCTCACCCCATTTTGGACTCTGCTTCAGTCTTCCGTCCCGGTCCTCCAGCCTCCTTTGCCTTTGGAAATGCCTCCTCCACCTCCACCACCACCGGATTCGCCTCCGCCGCCCCCTCCGCCACCGCCACCACCGGGAGAAGATGGAGAGATCCAGGAGGTGGAGATGGAAGATGAGGGGGGCGAGGAGCCGCCTGCCCCGGGCACAGAGGAGGATGCTCCCCTGAAGCCTCTCCCACGCCCGGCTGCCACCGGTAGCACCCAGGTGAGAGCTCCCCCACCGGGCCATGGCAGGGTGCTGGGTCGTGGCCTCGTGGCTGTGCCCCTCACCCCCTGCTCCCCTCCAGCCTGCCGCTGACGCCAGCCCCGTGCCGCTGCTCTCAGTGAAGCCACCGAAGAGGAAAGCCGTGGAGATGGCCCCGGCGCTGCTGCAGCGCGCGGCCACCATCGGCAGCTGCCCCGTGCTCTACAGCCAGCCCCTGCTGCCCACCGCCAAGTACCAGCCCTCCCCGGTGCCCTTGGCCTCGCTCCGGCCTCGCCAGCGCCTGCAGAGCGAGCTCCAGGCTCGCCCCAACCTCCGCATGGGGCCAGGCCCGCAGCCCAGCCCCATGGGGCTGCAGCCGGGGTACATGAGCGTCACCGCGCCCGCCGCGCCGCCCCTCATGAGCTACTCGGAGTGCGCCACCTCCGTCAGCCTGGCCGCGGCCGCCGTGCAGCCGGCACCGGTGCGAGGGGCCCTGCCCGCTGCCAGCACCGGCACCGCCGAGCAGCCACCGCCACCGCCGCCACCACAAACCCCCCCTCCGCCTGTCCCCAAGGCACCGCCACCGCCGCCACCGGACAAGGAGAAGCCGAGGAAGGGGCGGAAGGAGAAGGTGAGCGCGTGCGCGCCGGTGCCATTGCGGTGCCTCTCCCCCCCACGCTTCCCAGGCAGCCTCTCACCGCGGCTCCTGGTGTGTGCCTGGCACAGGGCAAGAAGGGCAAGACGAAGATGCCCTCGCTGGTGAAGAAGTGGCAGAGCATCCAGCGGGAGCTGGACGAGGAGGACAACTCCAGCTCCAGTGAGGAGGACCGGGAGACCACGGCCCAGCGGCGCATCGAGGAGTGGAAGCAGCAGCAGCTCATGAGGTGCGTGCGTCCCTTGCTTCAGGGATGCTTCCATGATCCCCATAGGGGCAGCGGGGTCCCCCCCCCGGGGTGCTGACACCCCTCTTTGTCCCCGCAGCGGCATGGCAGAGAGAAACGCCAACTTCGAGGCGCTGCCCGAGGACTGGCGAGCGCGGCTCAAGCGGAGGAAAACGGCGTCGAGCACGTGAGGGCCCCGGAGCCGTTGCCATTCCCGACCCTTTTCCTTCCTCTTTTTTTACAGATGTACAGTTCCAGCCCCTTCCCCATGCCCCTTGTCCAATAAACTGTAGGAGTTTGGGACGTGCCGTGCGGCGGGACGGGGGTGGTTTGGGGCTGGTGGTGCTCAGGGTGATGCTGTTGGGGCCCCGTTACGGTGTTGCCCAGGGACACTGAATCCCTCTGGCTCCTGTCCCAGTGCCTCCGGTTGCTCAGCGACCGCGTCCTGGCGCTGCCGGCACCGGAGCTTTTGCCACGATGCAGCCCAGGGAGGGGGAACCAGGGGGGTTTGGGGGGGTTCTGCTCCCCGACCCCTATAACAGCTTCATGCATCACCACTTGAGCTACTACGGCTACTCCCAAGGTAGGAAGATGGGGCTGTGGCTGCCCCATTGGTCCCTTATGGCCCCCCCCCAAGTGTGGGGCTGCAGCGTTGCTCCCCCCAAGGCCACAAGTTGAGTGCACACAAGAGCCCCATGGCCTCGGGGGACCCCACGGAGCAGCCTCCCACTGAGCTCCTGATCAGCATGGGCAGCACCAATCCTGGGCAGGAGCTGAGCCGTGAGTGGGGACCCCCCCACCCCACACTGGGGCTGCCCTTGCTTTGGGGTGCCCCCACCCCAACCTGACACTGGGGCCCCCCCCAGCTCCTCCTGGAGCCCCTCACTGCAGCACCGGGAGGCCCTGGGGGAGCTGCAGGGTCCCATTGCTGGGCTCTCACTGGGGGGGCTCCTGCCCCCTCCCCGCTGGCCTGTGCAGTGCGAGGTCACTGAGGAGAGCATCGAGCACATCAGTGAGGGGCAGCTCCTGCTCTGTGTCCCCCCCCTGCAACCAGACCCTGCCGTGCCCATGGTGCCCATCCCCATCCTCTGCCCCCCCACCCCAGAGTGGGTACCCCCTGAACCGGAGCCCTTCTGCCAGCCCATGAGCATGGAGCAGGCCCCAGCCACCCTCAGCGAGGAGCAGGGCACCATTGTCTATAACTGCAGCCCAGGGAGCGGGCAGCACCCATGGGTGCCCCCTCTGCCTCGCCAAACCCCATTGCTGGGCCTCTCTGCAGTGCCCCAAGGCACCCATATTGGGGGGGCCCCAGGGCCCCTGTCCTGGGCAGCAGCACCCTTGGGGGGGCCCCAGGACTCGACGCTGCTCTTTGAGTCCCGCTTTGAGAGCAGCAGCCTGCAGAGAGCAGTCAAGGTGTAAGAGAGGGGCTGGGGGGGCAAGGGGAGGAAGCCCTGGTGGGGCTGGGAGCCAGAGCATGGCCCATTCACACCGCACAGGGGGCCCTATGAGCATGTGCTGTGGCTGCGGCTGCGGCCAGACCTGGTCACCACCAAGCACACCCAATGGTTCTACTTCCATGTCCAAAACACCCGCCGGGAGCCCCTGTACCACTTCACCATCGCCAACCTCGCCAAAGCCAAGAGTCTCTATGGCGAGGGCATGAGGCCGCTGCTCTACTCCCAGCGGGACGCCCAGAGCCGCGGCATCGGCTGGTGCCACGTTGGCACCCATGTCTGGTACTACCGCAGTGCTGGTGCCGGTGACCGGGAGCCGGCTGCTTTCCACCTCTCCTGGGCTGTGTGCTTCCCCTATGATGGGGATACCTGCTTCTTCGCCCACTCCTACCCCTACCCCTACACGGACCTGCAGCACTACCTGCGGGCCCTGATGGGCGACCTGGTGCAGGCGCTGTGCCGCAGCCTGGCCGGCAACACCATGTACCCAAGCCGAGGCCTCCTGCGGCACCTCTTTGTCTTCACCGTGGTGCCGATGCTCAACCCCAATGGGGTGGTGGTGGGGAATTCCCGGTGCTCCCTGTCCGGCTGGGATCCCAACAGTGCCTATGGAGCGAGGCCTGGAGTGTTCCCTGCAGTGTGGCACCTATGGGCGATGGTTGAGAGGTGAGGGGTGGTACTGGGAGGTGATGGGATGGTGTTGGTGCTCCTATGGTGGTGGTGGTGGTGGTCACATCCTGGTGCGCCCAGGGTGCTGGTGGAGCGGGAGGTGGTGCTGTACTGCGACTACCACAGGCACAGCCGGAAGAACAACGTCGTCATGTACGGCTGCGATGGCAGCGGGACCGGTGTGGGGCTGCGGCTGCACCAGCGCATCTTCCCTTTGATGTTCAGCAAGAACACCCCGGACAGGGTGGGGGGCAATGGGGGCACGGTGTCAGCACTGAGCTCTGCGGTGACCCCAGCTGTGTTCTGCAGGTCCAGCAGTGGCGGAGCTGGATGTGCTCCTGCGGCAGTGGCTGGGCCATGAGCCGGGGGGTGCTGGCAGCTGGAGTGATGTGGCCACATCCGAGCTTGAGTCCAGGTACAGCCTGGCTGGTGCTGGTGTTGGTGCTGGTGGTCATGGTGTTGCTGCCAGTGCCAGTGGTGCTGATGATGGTGCTGGTGCTGCTGCCAGTGGTGCTGGTGCTGGTACTACTGCTGGTGGTGCTGGTGGAGCTGGTACTGCTGCTGATGGTGCTGGTGCTGGTGTTGCCGGTGCCAATGCCAGTGTTGATGCCAGTGTTGGTGCTGGTGGTGCTGGTACTGCTGCTGGTGGTGCCAGTGTTGATGATGATGGTGGTGATGGTGTTGGTGCGTGGTGCTGGTGGGCTGGTCTACTGCCGTGGTGCTGGTGCTGGCACACCCATGGTGCTGGTGCCAATGCCAGTGCTGATGCCAGTGTTGGTGCTGGTGGTGCTTGTACTGCTGCTGGTGGTGCCAGTGTTGACGATGATGGTGGTGATGGTGTTGGTGCTGGTGTTGATGCCGGTGCCAGTGTTGGTGCCAGTGCCAGTGTTGGTGCCGGTGCCGATGCAGATGCCGGTGGTGCCAGTGCCCGCTGACCGCGCTCCCCCTCCCCGCAGCACCGCCGGCTCTCACAGTTCGGTGTCGGACGCGCTCCCGGTGCTCCCGCGGTGCCGCCGCTCGGGCTCAGCCCGCGCCGCTTTGCGGCCGGAGCAGCGCAGGAGGAAGCGGCTGCGGAGCCGCGGGGCCAGGGCCGCCGAGCGCGGCCTCAGCGCTGCCGCCCGGAGCCGGGACCCGCGGCGCTGCCTCCACCGCTGCGGCTCCGCGCGGGTCGCTCCGTGCCCCCCGGGGCCCCTCCACGGCACGGCGGGGCCCGGTGCTGCCGCTGCGGCCTCTCCCGTCGCAGCCGCCCCGGCGGGGACCAGGCCGGGCCGTGCTCCGAGCGCGGCTCCAGGCCCCATCCGGTCCCTCCGGGCCGCCCCGCGCTGCTGCGCCTGTGTTCGCCATTAAAGCGGGGCCGGGGCCGGGACTGCGCCTGCCGGCGCCTCCTTCCGCCCGCGGGCACCGGGCCCCGCCGCCATGGCTGCCCCGTAGTCCCCGTTACCATGGCGACGCCTCAGGCCCTTCAGGCCCCTCAAGGCCCGTTAACATGGCGGCGCTTCAGGTCCCTCAAGGCCCGTTACCATGGTGACGCCTCAGGCCCCTCAAGGCCCGTTACCATGGCGACGCCTTAAGCCCCCTCAAGGCCCGTTTCCATGGCGACGCCTCAAGGCCTGTAGCCTGCCTTTACCACGGTGACACCCGCTCCCCGGGTTGCCATGGCGACACCTCAAAGCTCCCTTTAGTCCCTCCCCCTCCCGCCCGGAAGCGGTGCGCGGGCGCGCCGGAAGTACCGGGACGGTGGGAGGACGGAAGCGGAAGCGGCGGCCGTGTCCTTCTGCGCCGTGACGCCGGCGGCACCATGGCGGACGCGGCCTCGCAGGTGCTGCTGGGCTCGGGGCTCACGGTGCTCTCGCAGCCGCTCATGTACGTGAAGGTGCTGGTGCAGGTAAGCGGAAGGGGAACGGGATGGGACCGGGGGGGTACCGCGGGGCTCCGGTTCCCGGTGCCGGCTGCAGGCTCCCGCTCCCGCCGCAGGTCGGGTACGAGCCGCTGCCACCCACGCTGGGGAGGAACATCTTCGGCCGCCAGGTCTACCAGCTCCCGGGGCTCTTCTCCTATGGTGAGTGCTGCTACCGGGGCTAACGGAGGGGGGTCCCGGTGGTGTGGTGGGTTCTGACCCCCCCCCTCCGCCTTCCGTAGCCAAGCACATCGTGAAGGTCGATGGCAGAGCGGGGCTCTTCAAAGGCCTCGTCCCGCGCCTCTGCTCCAGCGCCATCGGCACCGTGGTGCACAGCAAAGTGCTGCAGGTACCGGGGGAGAGGGGGGAACCACACCGGGGCTCGGGGCTGGCGTGGACCCGGCCCCGGGGCCTGCGGTAACGCTGACCTTTGCTCTGCAGCAGTACCAGGAGGCTGAGGACGCTGGGGTAGGTGCAGGGACCCTGCTCCCTAGGGAATACTCCTGCCCCTCCTTCATTGCCATTCCTCTTTCCCCTCCGTCATTGCCGTCCCTCCTTCCCCTCCATCATTCCCATCCCTCCTTCCCCTCCTTCACTCCCATCCCTCCTTCCCCTCCTTCATTCCCATCCCTCCTTCCCCTCCATCATTCCCATCCCTCCTTCTCCTCCCTCCTTCCCCTCCTTCATTCCCATCCCTCCTTCTCCTCCCTCCTTCCCCTCCTTACTTCCCATCCCTCCTTCCCCCCGTCATTACCATCCCTCCTTCCCTCGTTGCCGTCCCTCCTTCCCCCCCGTCGTTGCCGTCCCTCCTTCCCCCCCGTCGTTGCCGTCCCTCCTTCCCCTCCATCATTCCCGTCCCTCCTTCCCCTCCATCATTCCCATCCCTTCTTCTCTTCCATTCTTCCTTCTTCTTCTCCTCCATCCCTTCTTTCCCTCTGCCTACTCAAATCCCTTGTTTTCCTGTATTCCTCCTTCTTCTCTCTCTTCCCTATTCCTTCTTCCCTTTCTTCCACTCCATTCCTTCTTCTCCTTCTCCTCCATCCCTTCTTTCCCTCCTCCCACTCTAATCCCTTATTTCCCTCTATTTCTTCTTTTTCTCCTTCTCCTCTATCGCTTTTTCCCCTCATTCTACTCCAGTCCCTTCTTTTTCTCCATCATTATAATCTCTTTTCTGTCCCATCTCTTTTTCCTTTCCTTCCCCTCCAGTTCCTCCTTTTCCTGTATTCCTCCTTCCTGTCCTTTCCCTCCAATCCTTCCTTCTATTCCTCGTCCTTCCCCTCCATCCCTTCTCCCTTTCCTTCTCCTCCAATCCCCCCTTCCTTCCATCCCGTGTGCCCCATGGCTGCACTCAGAGCATCCCAGCAGCAAGGGAAAAGCTCAGGGGGGCTCTCCCAGTGGGACCTGGATCCTTCCAGGGCTGCTGGGGAGGGCCCAGTGCCTCTTGGGGGTCTCTTCCCCCCCCCGATGCCCCTTTCCCTCCCCAGCCTGGAGCCAACAAGAAGGAGCCGGTGTCATCGCTGGAGCAGGTGCTGAAGGAGGTGAGGATGAGGAGGGTTTGGGGGGGGGGGGTGAGGGGCTCCATGTGTGCCCCTGACCCCCCCTTTCTCCCCAGACCTCCCGAGAGATGGTCGCTCGCTCCGCTGCCACCCTCATCACCCACCCCTTCCACGGTAGGTGCCCCCCCACCCCAGCTGGGTGATGGGCGCTGTCACTGCTGTGTCATTGGGGTATCCCTGTGCCCCCCACCCTTGACCCCCCCTTGCTTGTCTCTGCCTGCAGTGATCACCCTCCGCTGCATGGTGCAGTTCATCGGCCGGGAGACCAAGTACAGGTATGGGGGGGGGGGTTCTGCTATGGAGATGGGGCTGCCCCCCCACCCATGGGGTCCCCCCACCCATGCCCCCCCCCTTTGCTCTTTCTCCCAGTGGGACACTAAGCGCCTTCGCCACCATCTACCGGGAAGAAGGGATCCTGGGCTTCTTTGCGTGAGTGATGCCCATGGGGACATGGGGGGGTGCTCCCCACATCCAGGGATGTTGTTCCCTGCTCCAGCCTCAGCTCTGCCCTCTCGTCTCATTGGGCTCTGGGTGCTGCTGGGGACTGTGGGTTTCCATCCTTCCCTTAATACCCAGTGCTCTGGGTTGGTAAAGGGGATCCTGACCCTTCCCCTGGCCACCAGTGGGGATGCTCCGGGTCCCTCTGCACCGGGGTCCTCTCCATCTCCCCCAGCGCTGCAGGGGAGCTCCAGGCTCCTTTCCCCTGGATCCAGCCCCATCCCAGGCTCACGTTCCTGCTGGCTCTTCTCTTGCAGCGGCCTCATCCCCCGCCTGCTCGGGGACATCCTCTCGCTCTGGCTCTGTAACATGCTGGCCTACCTCATCAACACGTACGCGCTGGAGAACGGGGTACGGGCTCCGGGGACAGGGGCCGCTTTTGGGGTGGCACCAGTGAAGATCCAGGGGGTTCAAGGGGCTTTTCCTCCTCCTGCAGGTCTCCACCATGGCTGAGATAAAGAGCTACTCCCAGGCAGTTACTGGGGTGAGTACAGTGGGTGCACAGGGGGAACGGTGCCTTCCTGCAGGGAGGGTGAAGGGAATGAATCCCCCTTTCCCCAAGGGAACGGAATCCCCCTTTCCCCAAGGGAACGGAATCCCCCTTTCCCCAAGGGAATGGAATCGTCCCCCTTTCCCCAAGGGAATGGAATCGTCCCCTTTATCCCAAGGGAATGGAATCATCCCCCTTTCCCCAAGGGAATGGAATCATCCCCCTTTCCCCAAGGGAATGGAATCATCCCCCTTTCCCCAAGGGAATGGAATCATCCCCCTTCCCCAAGGGAATGGAATCGTCCCCCTTTCCCCAAGGGAATGGAATCATCCCCCTTCCCCAAGGGAATGGAATCGTCCCCCTTTCCCCAAGGGAATGGAATCGTCCCCCTTTCCCCAAGGGAATGGAATCATCCCCCTTTCCCCAAGGGAATGGAATCATCCCCCTTTCCCCAAGGGAATGGAATCATCCCCCTTTCCCCAAGGGAATGGAATCATCCCCCTTCCCCAAGGGAATGGAATCATCCCCCTTTCCCCAAGGGAATGGAATCCCCCTTTCCCCAAGGGAACGGAATCCCCTTCCCCCCCAAGGGAACGGAATCCCCCTTTCCCCAAGGGAACGGAATCCCCCTTTCCCCAAGGGAACGGAATCCCCCTTTCCCCCAAGGGAACGGAATCCCCTTTCCCCCAAGGGAACGGAATCCCCCTTTCCCCAAGGGAACGGAATCCCCCTTTCCCCAAGGGAATGGAATCCCAAAGGGAATGAGGTGTTCCTGTACCTCCTGCTGTCCTGTGGTTGCTGGGCTGGAAGGGCAGAGCCAGGCTCCACAGGGAGCAGCCCATGGAGGAAGGGGGTGCTCCATGGAGGATGTGCATCATCACCCTGCACCCCTATGGGCTCCTGGCCTTGTTCCATAGGGAGCCTGGGGGGATCCCTGTGGATTTCTGGGGGTGCCTCACCCCACATGGAGGGGAGGGGGCAGATTCCCACTGGAGCCCCTCTGTGCTTCGCAGTTCTTCGCTAGCATGCTGACCTACCCCTTCGTCCTCGTCTCCAACCTGATGGCTGTCAATGACTGCGGGTGAGTCTGAGCCCCCCAACTCTAGGGGGCCTCTTGAGGGGGACCCTGTGTCCCTGTGCCCCCCCCAAGCTGCCTTCCCAGCAGTCCTGGCTGCCAGAGCCTGGTCCAAGCTCAGCGTGGGGCTGGTTCCTTATGGGGAGGGCAGCATCCAAAGGGGCAGTTTGGGGTTCAGCCTGGTGCAGGGCTTGGTCCTGGATAGGAGCAATGCTCCGGAGTCAGGGAATGAGGGAAGCAGCCAGGATGGAAAAGAGCTTCAGGACCATCAGGTCCAAGCATTGCCATGGCACCCCTAACCCATGGCACTGGGGGCTGCATGTACACAGTGTGGGAGCACTTGCAGGGCCGGTTCCCTGGGCAGCCTGTTCCAATGCCTGAGCACCCTCTGGGGCAGGAATTGTTCCTCAGCTCCATCTAACCCTGCCCTGGTGCAGCTTGAGGCCGGTTCCTCTTGTCCCATCCCTTGTTCCTTGGGAGCAGAGCCCAGCCCCTCCTGGCTCCATCCTCCTGTCAGGCAGTTGGAGGCAGCCATCAGGTCCCCCCTGAGCCTTCTCTTCTCCATCTGAACCCCCCAGCTCCCTCAGCCCTTCCCCATCACACTTGGGCTCCAGGCCCTGCCCCAGCTCCGTTGCCCTGCTCTGGCCCCGCTCCAGCCCCTCAAGGTCTCTCTTGCAGTGAGGGGCCCAGAGCTGAGCCCAGGATCCGAGGTGCAGCCTCCCCAGTGCCCAGCACAGGGGCCCAATCCCTGCCCTGCTCCTGCTGCCGCACTGGTGCTGGTGCAGGCCAGGACGCTGGGGGCTCCTTGGCTGCCTGGGCTCAAGCTGCTCC